AGGGGAAAATGCCCGTTAACTTCCCGTTAATAACCCCCAAAACAGGCTTCCCTTCCTCGAGGGACTCCCGCTTACCAAGCTGCTCCGACAGTCGCCGCAGGTACTGCTGGCTGTCTTCGCTGAAAGCCTGCAGCAGCTTCACAGCTTGCTGTAGTTCATCAATCTGCAAAACCCAAGCGTTAACCACAAAAAAAAAGCAATTTATTTTGGTAAATCCGTGAATATTTTCCCCAAAACCAGCTGAGACCAACTCACCACAAGCTCCATGCAGCTCAGGACCTCCCCCTGGTCCTCCAGGATCTTCTGGTAGTTGGGTTTGCTGCTGAGGACGTGGCCCTGAGAAGTTTGGAGGTAAGTCAGAGGCTCCGCCTGTCCTCGATCCTTCTTGCATTCCTCCAGCTGCCTGCAAAAACAACAACAAACAACAACAACAACAATCATTTATCTGGCTCTAACGGCATCATTTTATTTTTCTTTTCAAATACCAAACCGCTGTAAGATGGTAACAATCCAAGACCTGGACATTTCTTCAGCACTTTCTTGGTAGCGCAGTAAGAGCTGATCCCAGGCCTGACACTCGGCAGCGAACCTGCGGAGCGACAGGAGGGAACAGGTCCGTAATTGTCAGAAAAACAGCTACAGAATTAAATACACCCTAAAATACCCTCCAGGGCGAGGTGTCCAAACCCATGTTGGTGCTGGGAGTCTCGGACTGCGCACGCAGTCGCTCTTACCTGGTGATGTACTCCTTAACTTGGGCCACCGACTCATCCAAAGCCAAGTCCAGTAAAACCCTGAAGCACAGATACGATGTCAGCGTTATATAGGGAGACGTATACGTTCCACACCTGTATCACAGTGGGCTCTGGTGTCTGCTGGGTGCTTCTGTGAATGCTTAGAATTGCAGAATACAAAAAGTCTCCTCGGTAAAGATCAACGCCCCCCCAAATATTCCCCGTACTGGTGATATTAGCCCCAAAAATCCTTGGAGCCACAGGCAAGGGGGTTCCTCTTTGCAGATTCAGATGATGGGGCGGGCCGTAAAGCAAAACCAAAAAAACAGAACCATAGGATGGTTTAGGTTGGAAAGGACCTTAAAGATCATATTGTTCCAACACCTCCCACCAGACCAGGTTGCTCCGAGCCCCATCCAACCTGGCCTTGAACCCTTCCAGGGATGGGGCAGCCGCAGCTTCTCTGGGCAACCCCTGCCAGGGCCTCACCACTCTCAGCGGGAAGAATTTCTTCCTAATATCTCATCTAAATCAGCCCTCTTTCAGTTTAAAGCCATTGCCCCTCGCCCTACCGCTAAACTCCTTGATAAAGAGTCCCTCCCCACCTTTCCTGTAGCCCCCCCTTT